GCGGAACCGCCGCACGAAGGCGGGGAGTGGGGCCCCGACGCGCTTCTTCCCGAAGGTAAAGTGAGTGAGTGAGGGCGAACAAGCCGACAAGCGGGTAAGACGGAGGGGAGGGGAGAGGAGAGGCTGGAGGGTTAGGGGGTTGGCCAACCCCCTCCTCTTCACGCGTTGGTTCCGCCGGGCTGCAGGGGCAGTGCCGTACCGGCCGCCAGGGGGCAGAAGGGCACCCGCACCTGCAGCGCCCCCCGGCGGCCGGGCAGATCCGGGCAATGGCGATGAGGAGGCAGGCGCCATCTTAGCACAGGCACCAGCCCTGCGTGGCGCGCAGGATGCGGAGGACTGCAGAGCCCCACAACCACCCAGCTTTCACCGACAGTGCCACTGCATGCCCAGTGCTGTGTGGGCATGGCCTTTGCTAGGTCAGGCTCGACCCTCAGAGCGAGGAACATGATGGCCTTGCTGCCCAGACAGTCCCCATGCCTACCTGATTGCTGTGGGATGGCCCAGCTCCCAAGTGGTGTGGAGAAGGCCTGGTGTGTGATCAGTCCTGAGCCTTTCACCTGGGCCTGCAGTTGCTGCTGACCTGGAGCTCATGTCAGGGGGGTGTCCTCCCATCCCATCACCACCAGGCCTGAGGGTCCTCTCCCCACAGAAACAGAGAGAAGACTCTGGGACAGACAGAGTGGCGCTTCCCCCGGCCCTGTGTTCCTTTGCCCTTGTGCTGTCTGTGAGGCAGGAGACCCCAAAAACCGATCCTTACGCCATTCAGGAGAGTCTAGTGCAAATACTATGTGAGGCTTTGTTCCAAAACTCCCAAATTTGAACAGGATTCACACATTTGATTTCCAAAAAAACTAGTATTTTTTTAATGTATGTCCTGCTATAGTTCACAAATAGGATATTGATAGATAAAATTTTTATGCACTGGGATGGAAGCATTTGGAAACTGAAGCAGAGGGTTCATGAAAGGAGTTCTATTAAATGACCCACAGAACGAACTAAGAAAGGGGTAAGGAGGATTTTTTCTCTTTTAGCATTAATATTTATACCTGTTTTCGAGTTTGGGAGTGTTTCCAATGCTGGGAAATATTCCTATTCATGCATTCAGTTGCATTTGGCTCAGAGCCAAGGTATGAATAAGGTGCATAAATCCATACTGGGTTTTGTGTCCATGTTGTTATATTTCTGTATGCTTCTATATTATATAAGTAAGGCCATCCAAGGATAGCTGAGACTTGCTTTTCTCTGTTATATTTGTTGCACTGCATAAAAACCTCTTTCTCTGCTTGTAACTATTGGATAACTAAACACAAAGGAGGAGAAAATGATTCTGAATGTACAAAAGCATAAGCAACAGGCTTGTAAAAGAGTAGAGACAAGTTCATATTGCTTTATAGTTTACCTGGACACTGCATGCTTTTCATGAGAAACCTAAGAAATATACAAAGCAATTTTTTTTGTTTCCTCTCCACAGTCTAAGTCAGCATTTCTGTTCTTGCTGAGGCTACTATGGCACAGGAGGCACTCTCAGAGCAAGAGTCTGTATGTCCTACTAAAACAAAATAATGCCTCGACCACCTCACACTAAGAAAATTAAAACTGTGATCACAAGGGACTAGCTAAGGGTTTCCACTTTCATTTATTCAAATGAAGAGAATGTTGTAGAATCCTAATTTTCTGCACTTATTTGAAATTATACAGGAAAACCAGTGATAAAATCCAAGTCCTTGCTTTTACTATTTAATTATATTCTCTTTGCATGCAGTTTCCTTTTTCTGATCAAAAGACCACTCCGTATGTAAGAGAAAGCTTAAAAGAGGTCCAAGTTCAGTCAGAAATCCAAGGCACGAATAGAATGGCAGAGTTCTCATTGCAGCTGATGAACAGTGTAAGTACAAAGACTTAGGCTGGTTTAGAGGTGTCGATGGGTGTTTCAGATAAGGGTTTCAGATCGCTTCAATTTGCCAGCAGAGAGATACTGGCAGGACAAAATCTAAAACCATGTGACAGTCACTTTGCTTTCAGATATTGTTACTGAATAACTTAGTTCAGTAACTTGGTTCTTCTTCACCAAATCTGCATAGATTTAGGATTGCAGCTTGTAGATGGAAACAATGAGAATACTTGGAGTCAAATTAATCCTTGATGGAAATGTCTTTAAATGTACAGGCTTGCGTCACTGGTAGAAATAAGGATGCAACACCATCATGGAAGAATATGATCTTTCATTTTAGTTTGTTTTTCACCATGTGGAGATGGAATATTTTAGCTGTGACTGAAGTTTTGCTATGATTTCATTTTGGCTGAATCTTTAAAAAAAAAAAGGTATGAATGTTCAATCAAGAATGAAAATCAAATGCAGTTTTCATGTTGCTAGGTACATACTGCAGCCACATGTGGTCGATGTTTGCAGGGTACTAGCTGTCACAGGCCACTAAGTCATTGATTTGAGTAAAAGAAGGTAAAATGACTTTTGTGGAAACTGGATTTTGAAATTTAATCACTGAAAGGTATGTGACCTGCCCAGCTATCACAGGAATCTGTGACGCCTTCTCCCTGTGCCACAGGAACTCAATGCTCAATGTTTCAGTTGTTGTCCCTCAAGGAAATGATAGGCCGAATTCATGGCTGCCTTAAGAACCACAGACTCATTTTGGCAGACTTGCACGAAAGATGAATATGGATTACTGACCTCTAGTTGCTGTGGATAGCTGTAAAAGGAATGATTGATTATCTGTTGCATTAGCAGCAGGAGAGAAACTGCAGGTCACTCTATCTAAATGGTATAATTTACCTCTTAAAAAAAAAAGCCAGATATGTGCAGATTTTTGCATCTCTTTAAATAAGCGTTAGCAAAAGAGTGCATTTGAAAATATGAGAGATAGATTGTCATACAGGCTGAAGCTGGTGATGTTCCATACTATAATGCTGATATGCTATGCTTTTGAATTATGTTATTTATTTCCATAACAGAAATGTGATCTTAGCTTGATTTCGAAGGCAATCAGCCCAGCAGTTTGCCATTGTGTCTTTAGGGCTCCTTGCCAGTAGCACACTAGCTGTCAAATAGTTGTGTTGCTCCTAAGTAAAACATTTTAGATCTGAGAAGTTCAAAGCCGCTTTTTCAAATTATTTCACACAGGGTTCTGTTCCCCACCATCTACTCCCCTGAGCAAATAGGGTTTCAGCATCAGCACTAAGTGTGTGTTCCTAATGCGTGCCCTAGTTAGTCAGGATGTAAAAGAAGAGATCTATTGTTTTAAAATACCCTTTTTTCCCCATGGGCTATTATTTTAACCCTTTGTTTCCTAAAGTCTTCTATGTACCTGCTACTGGCAGGTTTTATGTTTAAAGCAAGTAGCTAAGGCTTGCCTTGAAAAGAAAGGATGAAGTAAAATAGACTTAGAACGTCAGCACAGGAGCTGTGCAGATAGGAGTGCTGGACTCGCATTCTTAGACAAGCACCCCTGCTTCCCTGCTGGGAAGCAGCTGTAATTCAGCTCATTTTCCATGTAGCTTGCCCTCTGTCCTAACTTTGCTTTGACAGTGCACTACTGGGGTTACTTTACAGTGCACTTGACAGATTCCTTTCCTTATTTTTTATATAAACTTTAAATTCTAAACAAACCTGCAAATAGCAAAAGACGACTGGTGTTTCATTGATGATTCATATTATTGAACTTTTGTGTCAACCATCTAAAAGTCCAAAGGAATGTGTATTTGTTTCCCGAAAGAAAAACTTGTTATTACATTTTATAGTCTAAAGGATTATTTGTTTTAATTAACAATGAGAAAAGTTTGCATCTTCATCATGCAGTCACTCATTAACTGCTCGAGCCTCCTTTGCAAGTTTGGATACAATGGGATATTTCATGTGCTTGATCTGCATGTTGATAACAGGGGTTTGCATGTAGATCAAAAGAACGATACAACCCTGCATTGTCGGAACTCTGCCACAGCATCCAGCAAATGCTTCTTTGGAAGGCAACGCTTGGCTTCCCTCCAAAGGCTTAATTCTAACAATCGACTCTAAACCGAGCCTGCAACCTACCACTTTTCCCATTGATACGTTAGTGCACACAGACCTACCTTTGACCTCTCCCAGTTTGTTTTGTTGCAGTAAACACATGAAATTTGCTCAGCTAATACAATAGCCCTGTACTTTTTGACAAACACGCCTGTGGTTAACCTCTGTGGGCTGCATTCTGCAATGAAATGAAGGGTGGTAGAAGTTAAACAATGGGTGTGACTACCACAAGATGAGTGTTAGTGGGAAAGTGGTGTAACATCCACTTAGCATTCCAGAGATGTGAAATATAATTATGATTTAAATGCCAAAGATGTAAATTGCAAGATGAGTAACTACAAGGACATGAAAGCCTCCCTTATCTTCCTTTCTGTCCCACTCAGAATCATTTTGCACACCCACAAAACTAATAGAAGTAGTGTCACTTGACAAAATTACACCTGATACATGACTTGTACTGTCACTTAAATTTCTGTTGTTGTGGGCTCTGTTTATACTAAAGAAAAAAAATTCCAATTTCATTTACAACATCTTAAGTTGGAAGTAATTTTGCTCTTGGTGGAATTATTCCCTATTTATACTCCCACTCAGATCAGAATCTCACCCAGGCTTTGAATTTTGCCTATTTGTTGTCATCCTTCCTGTGATGGGGGGGGGGCCTCTGTCTGTGAAGGGCTTCTCTCACCTTCATTTATGTATCTTTGCAGAAATGGTTTATGAGCAGGTCTGTAATGTTAGAAACTGTTGACTAAAATGAGCCACGGGAGCAGCTGGTTGCTGAATATACGTGAAAAGATGCTTAATGCCTTTTTACATCATCTAGCATATGTGGGCAGGAGAGAAATAATGCACAAGTGCAGCTCATAGATGAGGGGCCACACAGTTCTGTATCGGTTCAAACACTGAGAAATTAAAGAAAGAAAAAGTAAATTCTGGGTAGGGGAGGTAGAGCAACTAGTGGGGAAAAAAAACTGTTGGTTCTAAACTTTTAAACAAAATCTTTATAAACAGATTCTTGGTATGTTTAAAATTCAAAAGCAACAGGTGTGATTACAGCTGTGAGCAAAGGGCATGCACTGTCCCAGGTTGTGGCCTTGGAAATTGTCCAATGCATAGATCATGATTTAAACACGTATTTTTTTCCCCCAACATTATTCCTTTTATTTTCTTTACAGATTACATGAAAACATAAGCTGAAATTTCTAGTCCAGTACTACCTTTTATTATCTGTCAGCAAGGAACAAAGAGTATTACCAAGCTCCACCAGAGGTGACACCTTCAAATAATAAGAGAGGGGTGAGGCCAGGAGAGGCTCTAGGTGAGGACATGATTTGGGACTCAGCTACTGCTAGGTCAGCCCTTGTAATTGAACTGTTTATTTTCTGTACAAAATATGCACTTGGCAGAGGGAAGCAACGGTACATGCGTAGCTTTGTGTATAAGTAATTTTATTCCCTGAAATGGAGCTGTAGAGTGGATAAAGCAAAGCATTTATTCCAAACTGTTTGACAAGCTGGGACTACCTAGCTGTCTTATTGTGGATACTTTTTTCCTAGAAATACTAGAATTATTTACTAGAAATACTTGCTGCTGGGTAGGAAGAATAATTTTTATATCTGTGGGAAAAATATATGATTAGTTAAACATTTTAAAATACAAATAGTAAAATAAAAATGTTCTCTCTTAAGAATCAGAGGAAAACAGTTTTATGTCTGTACTTCTCAAGGTCCCTAACTGAGTTTGTGAAACAGGAAAAAGTCTTTCAATCGTAGCAACGGCTAAGACAAAAAAGGTTTTGGATTTTTTAGCAAAAAGAACTACGGGCCAAATCCTGTCTGCAGGTTAGCGTCTGTACTCTGACTTCGGTGAGGAAAACGCAGTGTGATTGTCTGAAGCCACAGGAGGACCGTACTGAAATATTAGTGGAGGTCATCTGCTGTGCTGGAGGCAGCCGCTTGAGAACTGTATGGCCTGAGCAGACTTTGGTCCAAAATCCTCTCTGCTCTCCAGAATAACAAGAATTGCCACAGACTGCAAGGAGACGAGTGATAGCCACATCGCCAGACATTCTGCAGTCGTTTGGGTGCATGCACTAGGAAGCAGTTTTTCCTGCATCACCGAGGGAGAGTGTGCTCCCTCCAGAGGGCAGTTCAGGCTGTCTGAATTACCCGGCTCCAAACCGTCCTCTGGAGGAGCTATTTACAGGTCTGATTTCAGGGTAGATTCAGCCACAGTAACTAGAGCTCCAGGCTGGCAAATGGATCCTGAGACAGTCGGATAACGTCCTGTCCCTGTCACTTGTTCCTCACTGCATCCATGTACTTACTTTGCAGTGCTGCTGCATCTTCCTTTTGAACAGTAACATACCTTTGACAGTTGAGGCATCCCTAAAGCAGAAGTCATTGTTTCTGCGAACCTAATCCGTGTCTGAAGTGTTTATTATTACAGCAGTGGATTAATTGTCTGAGGGATATTTCTAGTGTGGGATGAAATAGTGTCAGCAGTTACATGATAAAATACTCATTTACATATAATAAGAATAGGATTTCATTCTTGATTTCTGACAAAGATTCTTATCACACCTGGAGGCTGAGTCAGTGGGCTCAGAAGGTACACAGCTCTCTGAAAATCAAGACATTCAGGACTTTCCTAAATCTACAGTTAGTCTGCCTCTCTTGCAGTGCTTAGATAAAATAGCTTTCATCACCTTTTCATCACATCAAACTCCAGCTGAATCCTTACTACATACTGTAGTGGTATCACAAATAAGCTGCTCAGCCTTTGAAACCTATACCGGTTTTCAGCAAGATCATGGTGGTTTTGTCATGTATTTTATACACAGATTTCAAGATGCTTTGCAAAGATAGGGTCAGAATTGGTACAGCTATTTCACAGGAAGGGGGATGCTCTGAGTTTCGGGGACTTGCCCAATGTCTGTTGCAAAATAGCAGTGAAACACAACACAGTCATTCTCGTACCAGGCCTGTGATTCAGCAAAGCACTAAAGCAAGTGCTGTTTGAATGGAGACATAGTTAAGTACCATTTTAAATACTTTGCTGGACTGGGTGTTCAGCTTTCAACAGCTAATTACTGTTTCCAGCTATTTCAGTTTTTTTCATATAGCTCAGCATATCTTTAGATGGTGTAAATATTTTTAAAGTAATTAAATTGTGTGAAAAAGTGTACTGCATGCTGGCCTTTTAGCAACTCAAATGTTCATGCATATGCTTGGGGTTTTGTGTTGTTTTTTTAGATGACACCAGTTACTCGACAAGAAGTTCTTGGCCTTTACCGTAAGATATTCCGAATAGCCAAAAAATGGCAATCAGCATCAGGACAGATAGAAGAAACTATTAAAGAGAAAGAGTACATTAAAAATGAAGCCAAAACATTATTCCGAAAAAACAAATGCGTGAGTGTTCTTACAGTTTTGAATTTCTGCATGATTCTCTTCTTGCTCTTTGCACTGTGTCAGTGATTGGATGCTAATACATGAATATAACACTTGATTTCCCAAAATTTCATTCACCTTAAATGCTGTTGTATTTGGGTAATAGTTTAAATTTCACCCCTGAAATAGTAATAAGAAAACTCAAACCATTTCAGCTCTTCGTTAACTACCGCAGAAGTCTGAAAGGTCTAGAGCTTTCACCAAAAAAATGCCAAGAAAAAATTAAATTCCAAAGATACCACCTAGGTAACTGAAGCAGCTTTTGATCTTTTAGAAAGCTAGCTAAGTGTATCATTACCCATGCAATGGCAAACAGAGCTCAGTAGCTTCTCATACTTCTTTTTTTCTTTTCAAAGCAACAATTATTGGCACTTCTTTTAAAAGCAGCACTTCAGTTTTTTTCTTAAGGAAGAAATTTCAAACCCCTTTTCAAAGGGGCAATACAGACTCCATGGTAATCAAAGGTCCTTCTTGTAATTCAAGATCACAATACTTACTTATATTCCATTTTTGTCTGGGACTAAATTGAGGTAATGCAAAATCAAAAAATGAATTTAAGTCACAATTTACACCGCACTTCTGACTTGAAAGGGAGTTTCTGGATAGGGTGATAACAGAATGTAGACCAAGGAGTCTCTTCCCTTTCTCCTGTAGCTACCTTGCAGAGTGATGAATGGATGAGGGTGCTTTTTTTCATGGATGTATTAGTTTACATGTGTTTTGTCTTTTTATAGAGAAAATACCATGTTTGGGTAAAAACCTCCTTCTATAGCCTCAGTTGTGACAGCCTCTGGGCCTTAATATCCAGCGCCATCAAGCCCAGAACCGTTGAGTCAAGGCAATACTAACGTTACCTTTTATGGGTGTGAAAAATACAATCACTGTGTCCTTGGGATTGCCAAATCATGTGGCTGTGCATCATTTACGCTTGAGCTTCCAATTGCTAATTGCTGTACTTGTTCAAAACATTTGTTTGTATGGTCTTAGGTAACAGATCCAAAGTTGATTAAGCAGTGTATAGAAGAATGTGAGGCAAGAATAGAAATTGGACTTCACTATAACATCCCCTACCCGAGACCTGTGAGTATAAGTCCAGTCACAAAATCTTCGGCTATGCCACTTAGCTCTCACTGGACAATAAAACCCTAAGTTCACATCACTGTTATCGCACTGTATTTTTAGATAAACCAGTATTTAAATGCTATGCTAAACCAGAGCCAAGTAAGCCAAATGTATATTGAAATGTTCTCCATCTACCTTATTTCACTGTAAATTGGCTAACATCATCTCAAAATAAGGAGTCAAAGCCTGAGTAGAGTTGCATGAGCTAAACTCCCAAGGCCTGTGAATATTTAGACAGTCTTGACCGACCAATGAGTCATAATATGTAGAGAAAGATGCTAATGGAATCAAATCTGTTAATCTTTCCACATTATAAAAGAGAATGAGAGAGTAAAAATACTTAGTTACAACTGCCACAGAGACAACAATTTTCATAGCCTACATTACTGGTAACTGTTCTCCCAATCATAAATTAGGTCTTATAAAACATCTGCCTATATTGCTGCTTCTTTTCCCCTGTTCCTAGAGAAAAACATGTCCAAGATTACTGAAAGCTGGAAGTTGCAGCAATGTCTTCTATTGCATCATTCAATACAGTTTCCTCACTGCTCAGTCACTTCTGTCTGTAGTACTTTATGCTGCTTCCCATAGAGGCTTCCTCTCTACTCCTGTTCATTAGTTTACATTTTCACATCTATAGTTTCCTTATCAAGGCAGTCATGGTCAAATCTTCATCAGATGCTTGCCTAGAATATGGTCACTGCTAGCATCTGTTTCACAAATAACTTTTCCTCCAGCATACAGAATAACAATGCACATCTGGCAAACAATGCTCCTAGAAATGGGCTTAAAATATATGCTCTGTAGTGGCTTTGAATCCCAAGGGTCAGGCCTAGATCAGTGCTGTCAGACAAACTGGATGATCGTTACTTTTCAGATTCTGGAAATCTCTATTGCTGCTTTTACTACTATTTGCACCTAAACAGCTATCTTACAGGATGACAGCCTCAGCAACAATAACATCTGACTGCTAACACCTACATTTTTCAGTCAATTAGGGGAGATATAGCTGCCTGACTCCCACTAACAGTCTTATGAAATATAAAGACTTTGTCAATCAAAGGAAGAGCCTGTCACCTGTTGCTCCTTCTGCTTGTGGAATCAATGACATTGATTGTGCATTTTAATATGGTATATATAATCACGACAAGAAGTTGTCAGTCTTTCAATACATACAGTTTGGGGTTATTTTGTGACTTGTTTGGTAGGTATGAATAAAGCACACAGTGCTTTAAGACATCTATTCAGGAATTTTTAGGGGTTTCTAGGTCTTTCTGTTATGGAAGAAGTCCTATTTCAACACGTATTTTATCATTACAGTCTGATACCAAGCTACAAAATAAGGTTACTAAAGCCTAAAACATACAGGATTTTCATAAACACAACATTTAGGGCCTGAAAATTACACCACTAATTACTCCTCAGAGAGCACTCCTTCTAGAAAACTAATAACCTCGTTTGAGATGGTACAGTTGCCCACTCCAAAATGTGAAGAAATTATTTAAAACTTAGTGAAACCTAGTCTGTATATATGCCTTCTTTTTCTTGTAGCTTCTCCATTTGCACCTAACTGGTGGGATTTTCTTTTGCAGATCCATCTGCCTCCTATGGGTCTTGCCCATAAACAAGGCCGTACATTGCGACACCAGGAAAAGCTAAGGAAGATTTCTAAGCCAATATACCTGAAATCCCATGATGAAGTTTCATAACCCATCATTTAAGCTGTGATGTGTAATCACGTCATTTAAGCTGTGGACTGTAATCCAGGTGACTTGTGTGCAGAACTGTGAATGAAGCTGTTTTGGTCACTTGCTCACACACCTCCTGAGGCCAAAAAGCTAATTGATACACTGCATGTGACGGATCAGGTTGGTCTAGTATTTATTACATTTCAACCACTGACTCATCAATAAAAGTAACACTTTTCAAGGAGTGAGATGTGATACGAAGATTAATTTGACATCAGGACAAATTACAGCAGGTTTTCAAACTGTTAATCTATAGCAGGGTTCTTTGGTGGTTTGAAGATTATATATACTTACTGGTGATTCAAGGCAGTGCCTTGTGTAAGGGTCAGCAAAAATCAAGAAAGTCTGGGAGAATCAAGCAGACACAGTGCCTCCAGAGCTTCCAAGCGCAAGTGGGAATACAGTGATTGCATCATGCAGATGCACTCCCTCCTCTCCTGTCCCTGCTCTGCCTGTTGTCCCTGGAGAAACATTCCGGTTTCATAGTATCCTTAAGGTGAAGTATTGTTTCTAAACGGACAGTAGCGAAGAGACAGCAGAAATACCACCAATCCTCCTTTTTCCTTTTTGCAAACTGCAGCGAGTGGCCTACAGCCTCTGTGTCAGCTTTCTTCCCTCCTTCCTTTGTAGAGGGTGTGAATGTGAAATGCTGAGTTTGGAATGCCATTACACAACTCGGAGTCAAACTTTCCAGTGTTGGGTTCCTCAGGTTCCCATGTATGGACTGACTGAAAACTCTCCCTTTAGAGTAGCACTATGGGAGCAAGCTTAAAATGCTTTGGGTGTCTTCACTGAGCTTTTTTATACGGTTGGCTTTTCAACATAATCAGGGGACTGGCTTCCTCAACAATTATTTTAGTGTTAGGTTTTAACTCTTACATTATGGACCAAACCCCAACTTTATTAAAAGAAAGTATCTACAACTGTCTCTTCAGTCTCTTAAGGTCAAGGGGTATTTGTGTTTCACAGGCACCTCACAAATGGAAGTGAGCTGAAATGAATTAATTTCTCCCTCACTGGCCACCTATTGTTTTGCCTCCTTTTGAGTCCTCTGGCTTTACCAGGCTGTTCACAAATTCTCTTCAGGAAAGTTAGTGGAGCCTTTTGTCCTTCAGGCTAGAAGTACCAATGAGACCACGGTGTGGAAGAGAGCCACACTCTACTGGGAGACTACATAAGCACAGCCCACAGCTGCTTTAAGGACAGAGGGTATAAGCAGCGACCTATTCCAGCCAGAAGTTAATGGTGGCAAAAACGCGTATTTGAAAAATGCAGTCTATATTATTCCTATTAAAGAGGACAAAACCAATGAAATCTCATTTTCTGAGCTCTCCAAGCCCTAATAGACAATGGCAAAGAAATATTGTTGTCTACCTAAAAAGAAGTTAAAACTGTCATGTGCAGAACAGAATGACAGTTCCTCCCCCAAGAATGTACTTGTAAGAGTGAAAAAATACAAGCAGATAAGAAAGTACAAGGAAACAATGAGAAAAGCGAGTCAGCCTGACAGGTACTGGCTAGCCCAATTTCTCACTACCCTTTATGGCTCCAGTCCACAAAGGTATCTATTCCCATATAATTATTTCCTGGGAATGCCTCATGTGGGAAGTAACATGTAAAATGCCATTGTTCTGCCTGTCAGTGGGAGCTTTGCAAATTTACTGCTGCCAGGAAGACACAAAAAAACTTCTTTTAGCTTAGGAAAAGGGGGATGGAATAAAGAGAGTAAAAAATAACATGAGTATACACACTGCTTAATCCTTCATTGAAAGAAGTCCAAATACAGTCTTTTTCTATCCTCATTCTAACACACCAGTGTAGAGATGTGTCAACTGAACCGAACCAAAATGTGCAGAGACAAGGGTTTTGAATGGAAGCTTAGGCTCATTCTTTGTCATTAAACTATCATTTGAATCTTTTTAATTGTTAAAATTCATGTGGCTAATGACGGTACTGATGCTATGAGTCATGAGGTGAATAAACAGCTATGTAAATGAGCAGTCCAAATTTACTGTCTGTATTATAGTCACAGCTCTTTCCTGAGCACACATCGTAAGATGTGGATTATTTCAAAATAACATCCCTGAAATTCCAGAAGATTCACACTAAATTGAAATAACAATATGAGTTTGAGTTTATTTCTGAAGGGAAATATAAATATGCAATATTAAAAAGGCTCAAAAGTAGCCTTAAGTAATTCAAATGAGTATCCACTTGCTTAACTGAAAAGCCAGTAAGTTGAACTGCAGTAACAGCATCACATTATTTGAGATACTTTCAATGCCTGTTAATTTTTTCAAAATAAGTGTGTGAGTAATTATTGACTAGATCCTTATTACCTTCCAGCACCAGAAGGCAAAGACTGAAATTTGTTAAAGCCTCAGGCTGTTCAGCTAAAGGAAGGATTAGATCAGTTCTTTTGTCAAGTCTGAAGAGCAAAACCCTTCTTTCACAGTTTAAGTTAAACTCTGTATGGAAAAGAGAATCTGCCTTAGAGTCCTGTGTTTTTGGAGGTCAAACTGGCAAACCACCATTTTGAGGGAGTTTCATAAAAAAAATTTCATCTGCAACTCAGTCCAGTGGGTAGGCAGACATCTCAACTGGTACTCACTATGAAATTCCAAGGACCATGTAACTTCTGTCAAGAAGTGTCCCAATGATGGTGCACTATGCCATTCCTACACATTAATTGTACTTGCAAAAAGATGTCCAAAAATGCCTGTTGAGTTCTCGAGAGTTTGTAATGCACTGGATTCAATCAGTGTACACTCCCTCCTGTACCTCCTTACCTTTCCCTTACTCCCCCTTCCAGTAAATACTGTCTCTTGCCTGAGATGCTAGTCACTAGTCAGGAGATGCTTTAGAATAATTTATTATACCAAGATGACATGGCATTTTATATTCTTTAGAAACAAAAATCCTGAGTCAGTTGCATGAACTCTCCTGCAAGCTAACCAGTAGGCAATGCAGTAGTAATTTGTTGACATGATAGCTAGCTTTGAATATCTAAATAACACCTCTTCTCTCTAGAAATTCTGTCCCTAACTCCATCATTAGTAAGGTTGTAATTTCTGAAGCCATGTGCTTATGAAACCAAATTTAGCACTAACTCTAGCAAGCACACAATCATTTAAGAAGATGGACTTGGCACCTGCTTACTGAATGTACCCCCTCAGTGTTGTCTAGGGATGTGGAAACACTCATTAAGTTGCAGCAGTTGACCCAATCTATTCCAGGGGAAGTATCGCAGAACTGAAACAGGTTAAGACAGGTTAGGTTAATCTTCCTACTAATGCTAGTTTGTTCTTGTAATACCTTTTAGATCTGGAGAATGTAAGGCAACCTGGACCTCACTTTCTTGGGGCCCTACTATGTATCCATCAGAAAAGATATCAGTAGCATCCATCTTTTATCCACAGACAGAAAGGGCACTTATTTGATCATACCTATAAATGCATTTTCAAGAATGCTAATTACAGGAGACACCTGCACCTTTCACTAATTTTTCTAATCCTGTTAGGTAAAACATTCTAGCTTATAGGAACTCATAAGTAGAAGAATTCAGGGCCTTTGTATTATCTTTTGCTTTTTTGTTGTATAATTTTCCCTTTAACAGCCCAACAGCATTAAAATCAGAGAGAGTACTTTCTGTTTCTGAAATTGATTTTTGTACAGATGAGATAAGAGAAAGGTTTCCATCTCCTAAGAAAATATACTAAGGCTATCTGTCTTACAGCATCCCAGCTGAAACTTTCTCTGCTATTTCTAAGCAAAAAATATCTCTTGCTCCATAAAGTCTGTATAACTGCATTTTTTTCCTGATCTGCTTTCAGTTACTAGCAAGATGAATCTACGATCTGCAGTAATTACAGGTGGTTTTTGTGGTTTGTTTAATGAGAGCTTCTAATTAAGAAACGGAAATACTAAACCTGTAAAGCCAAGAATTCTAATACTACTATTACAAGGTACTTCATTTGGCCAAAACTTTTTCACATTTTTATCATGTCCAACTAACAACTGAGTTGCCTTTTTTCTTTTTTTTAAATGCATCTCAGCCAAGAAACGTTGTGAATTCTAATGTTTAGCCAGCTTATCATTCTTCAGGAAGGTCTAGACAATGCTCAGGAAATAAGGTCAGGAAGCTTATTTCAAGGAATCACTGAAAAATATCTCTAAGACAGATATCCCTCAACAGTATATTCCATTACTTTTTCTCTAATAGGAAGGGCAGCCCAGGAAATCATGTACTTCAGTAATCACCAACTAAAGCAACTCAGCCATACCTGATCCCTGGCACAGGGGGACATAGCAACTGGCAGATGCGAGACCCCTCTTTTACAGACTTCTCTTTTATCTATATATAATAATATATAGATAATAACTATAATATATAACAACTATATATATTTTTGGTCACATCTATGAAAGCTTGAAATACATCTATAATTACATTCTAAGAGATGCCTTCATCTCAAATCTAAGCTAACACAGAAGAAACATCTAGAAAATCAATACAGTAACAAGGACATTGCACACAACGTAGTAACAAAGCCACTATATATATACGAGAACCACAACTGTGTCATTTAATAAACTATCCGTGTGTGTCCACAAAAAGGCACAAGTAACTCACATGGCAAGCTATCCCACAGTATTTTCCAACATTTTAAAAGTAATATATCTCCATAAAATGTACTTTAGCATATACTACTGCATCTGGCCTTCAATTTAAAATGGCTTAGAGGACTGTTTGCAAGACTAGCATTATGTGAAGAAGGATGGAGAAACTCTCCTCAAATTTCAATTTCTCTTCCTTTTAATGTTTTAAAAATGATTACTGCATTGTTGCCCCAGCTTCCCTTTCAGGAGTGACAGGTAAAGTGTCACCAGTCACTTACACACATAAGCTCTAAAGAAAGTCTAAACAGAAAGATCCCTTTGAGAGCAGCGACTGAACTGATCAATCCATAGGGAAGGCTCGAACAGCCAGGTCCAGCCTCTGTGGCCTGCATGCAGAGCATCTGTAAGAGGAGGCTCGTGACTGGTTTGTTATCTCTGATGCCACAGTGACCTAATTAGTGATCTGAATTGTTGACGTGATAGCCACAACAATTAGCTGCAGCCATTCAAAAATATGGTAATTACCACAGTGGTTTTTTAAATATGTACTAAATTTCAGTTAAT